CAGTTTTCCCCACGGATCACTCTCCATTTCGTCGAGGAGTCCAATCCAGCCTTGCTTCTTGCTCTCCTTGATCACTTTGGTAAGCTTTCGGCGTGCGTCCTTAAATTTCCTCTCCAGTTCTTCGGAGTTTGGTTTTTTCCGACCACGTTGAGCCGACCTTCTAGCCTTAACGCACTTCTCTCAAAGAGCGGCAATATGATCGTTCCACCAGTGCACAGGTGGCAGACGGCCTCCACTGCCTTTACGAGGCATTGAGGCATCACAGGTCTCGCTAACTCTTCTCATAAGGTACTCGGCTTTCTCCGTAGTACTACTGCCACTTATAGGGTGATCATCTAGTGCCACTAAGAATGTGCTAGGATCGAAGGTGCTCACCTTCCAGCCGATTTCGTTTGTCTTCTTAGGCGTTGGTCTGATCCTGCAACCAGCGGATACCTCCCAAAGGATTGCTCGGTGATCGCTAGCGGTGTAGATATCCATCACCTTCCAGGAGCAGTTTCCTCTTGTGAGATTACTGCTAACAAACGTGAGGTCTACTATTGAGCTCTTGACTCCTCTTTCGAACGTGGGTCCATCGTTGTTCAGCAGGACAATCTCTAGTGAAGACATAACCTCCAATAGTGCTTGCCCCCTTTCTTTGGTCTCGTTACTACCCCAGTCGACTGCCCAGGCGTTGAAGTCCCCCGCGATTGCAATAGGGAAGTGCTGCTTCGCGTCCTCAGTAAGTCTGTGCAGGAAGTCCGTGAATCCGTCAAGGGTGAGGCTTGGTGGAGCATAACAGCTGTAGAAATAAATTCCATCCAGCTTAGCTACCACAAAGCCAGCCTCACCAGTAGTCGCAGCACTTTGGAACGGGTACTTTCCGCAAGACCAGATGACAGCCTTGCGACTCTTGTCCGTCTCCCAGGGCTGAGTGCCCAGATGTCTGTATGGCTCCGAGACGATCGCCAGATCAATCTTCAGCTCGCGCACCGTCTGCATAAGGAGATCGTGTGCAGCCTCACAGTGGTTGAGGTTGAGCTGCAGTACCCGCATTATCGTTTCCTATTCACCTGCTGGTGTGCCTCCCTGAAGACAGGGCATCTGCTGCTACCAGCAGTATGAGCACAGTCCTTCAATGGATCTCTCTCAGCACATAAGACACAGCGGGCCTCTTTTCCACAGGTAGCAGCTTTGTGTCCCTCTTCGCCACACTTTGTGCAGAGCTTCGCTCTGTCCACTTGGCTCTTGCATTTGATGGCGAGATGTCCATAGTGCCAACACTTGAAACACTTGGTCACTGTCTCCACCCTTCGGATTCGGCAGTTCACCCATCCTATACGGATCCTACCGCGATCGCCTAGGACTTTTTTCGCTACCGCTGCAGTCACCGTCACTGATGCAGTCTGGGTACCTCCGTAGGCTTTGCGCAAAGATCTGATGGCATCCGGGGCAATTTGGCAATCTGCTCCCGCCGCGAGTTTGAGGGCCTCTAGTACCTTCTCCTTCGTCGTCAGCTCATCGAGGTCTTTGATCTCAAGCTCTTCCTGTGGCCCTTTACTGAGGACATCAGCCTCTTCTCCAAGGAGTTCGACTATCGCCTTGTGTAAGCGGCCAGCTTCATCCTCCTTATCCTTTGATAGGATGATCAGCATATCTCCCGTGGTCGTTCTGCGGATTTTGTCGACGCAGTCACGAACCTGGTCGCGGGGTATCTGCTGCTTCACTCGTTTGAGCACCTCCGAGTACCGCTGCGTACACTCTGTCTTTCGGGCGTACACTCAAAGCGTTGGGCCTCATGATTGGTACCCTCTGCTTCTTTTTCTCCTTTTCCTTACGCTTTTCTGGCGGCTGCGCTTTCTGCCTCTTCTTCTTCGGCTTGACCTGCTCCCACTTCGATGAATTTGCAAGTCCGTCCTCCTTCTTGTTCGGGGCATGAGTGGCCCTCATCTCATCTTTCTTCTTCTCGTATGTCTGTGTCTGTATGTATGTGTGTGCATATGTGTGTGCGTTTGTCCAGAAATGTGTCAATAACTCCAAAACCGTAATTACAAAAAACTTCAAATTTTGGCTCATAGTTCGTACCAATGAGATACAAATCTGTGCTAAATCTCAGGCGAATCGGTTAAGTAGTTCCTCAGATATAGCGATTTCTCAAAAATCGGTTTTCGCAAATATCTCAGAAACGGCTTGACCAATTTAATTTTTTTTTTTCAAAATATTTGTCAAGATGAGACCTATCTTACTGTATAGAAGTTCAATCACCCCACTACGGAGAATTGTGTTTTATTTTCATTTTTTCATTTTTTTACGAAATCGCTTGTTACCACGATAACTTGAAAAATAATTAAGATAGAAACTTCAAACTTTGTATGATTGGTTTGTTTGTTTGGTATTTTGAATGGACGAAATCGAACAAGTAGTTACGGAGATATTCAACTTTGTATGTGAAACTTTTTTCTTTAATATCTCAAGAAGCACTCAGCCGAATTCAATTTTTTTTTTCAAAATATTCGTTATAATGGTGGCTATCTGACCAAATTAAAATATAAGTACCGTTGCATTGAAAGTTTTCGAGATATTGCTGTTTTTCTATTTTTAGGTGATCAGCTTACTCGTGTGGCTATAATGTGGTTAGAACTTTATTTAACGATCTCAAATTTTGAGTAGTGATCGATACTATTTAACGACATAACTTGAAAGAATTTCAGATTAATTTATTCAGTAGTTCGTTAGATGGAACATTTTGTGAAAAATCGTCAATTACGTCAATTACCGTGTTTTTCTTCAGTTATCGAATTTTTTATCACAATTTCTTGGAATTTCATGTTACTAACATATTGGCATAACGAAATAATCCATTTATCTATTTATTTCATTGGTAGTATGATCCATTCGGAAGCATACTACCAATGAAATTGGTAGAAATTAAAAAAGAAAAAAAGGAATAACACACAAAGTAACAACGAAATGGCTTCTGTCGGATAGGCTTCAACCTCTGCTTGTTTTGTATTTTTTTACACAAATAGTGAATTTTTTTATATGAAAAAAAACGAAATCAGCTGTGTAGGAATCGAATTCCAAAAAACCGGCTCGTAATTGTTGTTCCACACATTTTTCCGAAAATTTTGAAAAAAAAAATCTTTTGTAGGTCAAAAATTGGAGGCCCTGCGTTTTCGGGCAAACGAACAATAAAAAAATTTTTTTTTGTACTAGTTACTCGTTTTCAGATCTATATAATCGATCTTCAACGTATGAAAAGTCTCACTCCAATAACCCACGACTTTAAAAACTCAGTAGTCTCCCCTTAAGGATATTCAAGTATTTTTTACAGTTTGATAGAGACCATCTGATAGATCCTACCATTTTCAATCATCAAATTTCTCAATTAAATGGCATGAGAAAATTTCTAAAAAAATCATGAATATTCAACATTCGATCATTTTAAATATGTTATCATTTTTTTTTCATTTTAAACATTTTAAACATTTTTTATTTATAAATAAACAATGGAAATTGGTTAAACTTTCGGAAACTTTATTTTTTTAGGCATGAAATCGATTTCGGGTAAAATTCTGAATATGAATAAATTTGTTACAATTCCGAGCAAATGATTTATGGTGGAAAATTGATTGTTTATAAATTATTTATGGAAAACGCTCGTAATTTTAAAAAATTGCAATTTTCCAATTATTTCATCAATATTCCTCCAAAAAAAAATTCTAATAAACTTTCTAATTTTTTTTAGATTTTTAAAATGTTTTCTAACGGTTCAATATCGAGATTCAAATTCAGAGTTACAAAGTTTAAATAATAAAATTACTGTAAAATGTACGGAAATTTAGGCTCAACTGGGGCATTTGCTTTCGAATGGAAACAAAACAAAAAATTCAAAGTCATTTGTAGTTTGAAGTGATTAGCAAATCTGATGAAATTGCAGTTCAATGACACTTCTTGTCTATAAAACCCCTGTGACGGTTACGATCCAAGAAACTCACTTTTAATTCAACACATTCAGTGTTCCCGATTTAAAGGAACGAAAAAAAAATAAAAATTACCAATTTTCTGTCAGTGGTCCGTTTTGCCCTACCCTTCCTTACCTCACTACTCGGTAAAAACAGCGTAAATTCTGAATGTATACCGTTTATTATGAAGACGAAGGTGATATATTGGAGACCATCCCATACATATATTTGAGCACCTACCTATAAAGGAGGATGACTCATAGCGGTGAAATTTATATTGTGTAACCTACCTCACAGAAAGGGACGAAAGGGACACCTCATAACACCCGAATAAATTCAAGTTTATGAGAGCGATTTTTTCTAATATTTTTACCTGCTAATAACTCATCAAGACACATCAATTCTCTCTATATAATCAAAAAATACGGAGGTTTAGAAATTCAGGAGACGCTCATGATTCTGAGCCTTATCTGTGACCCTGATGATGAGATGAGTCAATATGATTATATCTCATAAGTTCATATAGGGTCATATGGCAGTCAAATCCTTAAAAAATAATAATGATGCTATTCTATGTAGATAAATGGAAAAAGGAATGGTTGAGTCCCAAGACAAAAGGCGTTGGTTGGAGCCTTTTATAGATATTAAAAATCGAAATTTTTGAAGGGAGGTCAATCATTCTACCAATTTTTTTTATACAATACAAATACCTAAAGAGGCCCAAGAAGATTGGCGGCAGGGGGGGGGGGGGAAGCCCCCCCCCCNGTGAAGCCCCCCCCCTGTCGTGGTTGGCGAGCAAAGCGAGCAGGGAGCGGAACCCCCTAGTCGGTATATAAAATCATAGATTCAAGATGAGCAGTGTTGACTATAGTAATATCCTATTTTCTTTTGTTTGTAAGGCGGGCTTCATGAAAATCCAACGCAAGACGATTCTACTCATTTGTTATTTATTTGTTATACTTTGTCCATTCGTGTTTTTGTTTTCGATTTGTGATATTGCCCATGTTTCTTTTCACAAAAGATTAGAGAATTCATTTGGTTGGTTTTTTGTTGCAGATAATAAGCTACGATTCTGGGAGAGGTGGTGTTTCTGTGGTTACGGAAAAAGGGGAAACGACAACTAGTTTTTTACTCGTCCAGTATGCTACACCATCTGACTCTGGACAATACACGTGCAATCCAAGCAACGCTCAACCAAAATCCATCACCGTGCACGTTCTCAATGGTGAGAGGAGAATAAGATTGTCAAAAAGAAGATTTATTCAATTTTCATATCTAAGTTCAGAGAGACATTTATTTTGATTCAATGAACTGATTAAATTTTTTTTTTTGCTTGGGAATGACTTAGAATGTCATTAAACGTCGCGATATGTTTTCAGAACACACACAGAAACTTAAATGTAATTTACGCTTAACGGCAATACCATGTCTGGTGGCTTTTTTCCGTCATGAAAATCGGAATTTAAGCTTAAAAAAGGAGTATTTTAAGATGAAAATAAAAACGTAAATTACGCCCAGATAAAGTGTCTTTTACGTTCATTAAGCGTATTTCACGCTTAAGAAATCGTAAATTACAATTTTGAGAGAAGCGTATTTTACGATTTACTTATGCCTAATTTACGAAAAAGAAGCATCGTATTGTACGCTTCAAATAACTTTTTTTTCTTGGTCGTTAGTTACGGATAAGTAAACGTAAAATACGGAAAAAATCATCGTAATTTACGATTTCGTATTCCTAAATTACGATGATTTTTTCCGTATTTTACGTAAAAAAATTTACGAATACGAAATCGTAAATTACGTTTATGTAATTGTAATTTACGGCGCTTTTCAGAGTAATTTACCCATCAACTTCAAACGAAAAATACGTTTCAGACATCGTGAAAGATGACTACTTAAACGTAATTCACGTTTAGGTGTCCTGTGTGAATGACGGTGTGTACGTCCATATGTGCACTGAGAAAAAAATTAATTTTACCAAGGAATCATTTTCCTGGGAGAAGAATTCATTTTTTTAAATAGCGTATTTCTCCAGGCCTGTCATTTCCAGGTGGTCCAGATCCATCTCCAGATATTGCAATTATGTTGAATTATGGGATGATTATGCCACACGTGACCATGAGTTAATTCCATTAACAACTATTAACATGTAGAATTATTCCAAATTATTTTATACACAAGAAAATCTCCAATTTGAAAAAATTGAAAAATAACAAAAGGTGTATTCAGCTCATAATTCACCATAATAATACTAGAAATTATTATTCCAGTATTATTATTATTATTATTATTTTATTATTATTATTGATTAGGTAATATTTGGAGATGGTGATGGAGTACCTGGGAATGACAAGCCTGGATAAATATGCTCCTAAAAAAATAAATTCTCCTTCCACGAAAATGATTCCTTGGCCAAATTCATTTCTTTTTCAGTGTGTGTACAAAAGTCAGGGAAATTTTTTATAAATCTTCATAGGAAAACGCCTAAGGTAATAGCTAAAAATCTGAAATTTCGGTCCATCATTGGTATTGTTTAGGGATACTTTTCCGCCAAATTTCAGCTCAATCGCTTTACTAGTTTTTGACATACAACGATTCCCCAACATTTATTTTTCTTAGGATCTCGAAAACATCTGCTTCAAATAAACTTTTTCTGACATCCCAATGTTAATGGTAATGCCTTATGATAATGTCTATCGATTCATACCGAAAAAGCATAATTTTTTTTTTTGAACACAACATCTAGGAAAATTTTGGAGAATTTTTTTTCCATTATTTTGACTTTTCAGACAAAATACTTTAAGGTAAAATTTCTACGGTTTTGTGGTAAAATTTCTGGGGATTTTAGTACAAAATTTATTCAAATGTGAGAAAAATTGACGTGCTACCTAATGAAATTTCCAGTGCCAGCACCGGAATTTATTCCTGACCATCATTTTGCGACCTTTCCCCGTGCTAGTACTAAAATTTGTCTAGAGAATTTCTCTCTCCATGTACCAATGGAATTGGTAGGAATGAAGAAAAAAACAATAACCCATAAAATGACAGTCACATGCCCTCTAAAAAGATGGATTTAGTTGCTGTTAACAAGGCTTCTCAATTATTAATGCGATTCCTTAACTGCCAACGAATGGTGTCAATGATTAAGAACTCTCGTTAACAAAAACTACATCCGTCTGTTACTAGGCTTGTTTTTCTAAAATTAATACTTCTCTGCTGTCATTCATGCTAATTTACATCTTCAATAGCGATTGAATGGTATTCAGATCTTTTAAAAATGATAACGATGAACTGAAATTTCCATTGTTTTTCCAATGTGGAACATAGGATTGGCGCTCGTGACCTCCCGGGCGGCACCTTGGGCAGATGGAGATACTCTCTTCTTCAATTCTCTCATTTACATCTTATGAATTATTTCCAAATCGCATATTTTTAATGTTTGCGGGCTGAATAATGAATTTATTTCCACACTGATGGAATTGCAAAATCAACATCTCGTGCAAAATCTAGAGACGAATTCTGTCTCTACTCAGTTTTACGATTGGCTCTTTCCCGAATTCAAGCAAATGAGAGTTCACTTGAAATGAACATTTAAAATGGTCAATTAAATTTCAAATAGCTAGTTAGAAATGTCGATGAATTCAGATAAATTTACGGGAGCATTATCGGAGCAATCAATCATTGAAGGTTTTTAAGAATTCAAAATTCAATTGAGTGTGACATCAAACGTTTGATATTTCCTTTAATTAGGGGAAGTGGTGCCTCTACCGCGCACCTAAGGAATAATCATAATATTCACAACCCAAACCATGATTTTAGATAAAAATCACAATCGCATAGCATTCTTCGGCTATTCAGCTAGATATTTAGAAGCCTCGGATCCTCAATTCTTGTTACCATTGCTGACCGAACGGTAGTGGACGCATGCAGCTAATATCGCTCAGTATCTGACCTCTAGTCAATAGCTGTCAAAACAAAAAATCTCCGATGTTGGATGATTCAATGAAATTAATGGAATTCAGATTTTATTTGATAAACTGAAGTGCATAAGTACAAAATGATAATGTGGAAATGTGAGAATGGTACTTCAATCATTATTCCACTTTTTTTGAGAAAATAAAAATAAAATATGATGACTCTATTTAGTTTGAATAATTTATTCTCTTTCAGAATAAGTAACCTACCCATATTTACACTGAAATGCGGCGATACTTCTTCCACAGCGCCGCGCAGTGGTTAAACTTTTATATAGTCAGGCGTGAAACCCATATTCATTATGCATTACTCAGTCCCAACGGAATATTCAATTTAACTTGATAAACCATTCATCAAGAATTTAAGAAAATCATCTAGAGTGATAAATCGTAATGAATTTCATAAATCTGTAATAGTTAATTTCAATAAATCATGCAAATTTCAACATGTCAGTATTTCTCGGGTTTAGGGATATCCATGTATTTCGTTCAAGTTAGCATTTATTTTTCAAGCAAGATTTCAGTTTTGTCAAAAATCTTGCCATCCCCAAACTTGTTCGGATTTTTTAATGCTGGATACATTTTTTCGGGAATTTCTTCGATGAATATTATGAACAGGGATGGCGATCAATCTTCTGATTCTTCAATATTGAAAAAATTTCCGACTTACATTGATGAAGGTTTAAATATAATAATCGAATTTAACAATAGAAAAATAATTAATGATGTAAATTTCCAATTGATGATGAATTAAATATTTAATAATATGGAACTGTAAATTTTCTATTAAGTAGATAATACTAAATTTCTTATAATGCGTCCCACGACCTGTCATGTGACGGTCATCTGACCGTCAATCACGGTCACACGACCAGACATTTATTATGGCAATCACAATTACCCCTACCCCTTTAAATGACCGTCACAATGTGCCAAGAAAAAATGACAGTCATTTCTCATCTAGATTAAAGCAACAAGAGATGCAACATGAAAATTCAATTTTTCAAGATAATTCCATCAAATATAACATAAGCCCAATTTTCATCTTCAAAAGCTGCAATTCAAGCAACGATTTCCAAATTTTAGTCAACAAGTCCATAAAATAAAATGAAACCCATTATAAAGACATTACCGAAGTCCATTAGTGGTAAGAACGAACTAACTTGTTCAAATGAAAAGGGACAGAAATTTGTAGTGTATTCGTATGTTTCAGGAGAGTATCCAGCAGCAATGCAGCACGGTGGTCAAGCTAAGCAGCCACGATTATACTCTCTGCTGCTCTGTCTCTGTCTACTTCTGTACTAAAGAGTGTACACAACTATTAACAATTAACAAACTAGATACTCCTCATGGTCTGCGGGCCAGAGTGAAGTATCAGGGGGCTAAAAGCCTCGCGGTAATTAAACCACTGTATAAACATATATAAATCGTACACCTTTAGCTGTTTAGGGAGGAATATGAGTCAAGGGAGAATCACACTCTCGTGATAGAGTTTTAAAGGTATTTGGAAACTGGGGTAATTTGAGGATTATGAAAACCATCAAGAATTGGGTTTTTACCACATCATAGGATCTGAATATTTCCACAGAGTCATCATGTTGCTGATGAGTGATGCGGGTTATGTTGTATCACATTCTTTCACCAACTGGAAATCTGATTACATAGCACAACAATTTCTAACGAGCAAAAATAAATGCAACTGATTCGATTAATGAAGATAAGTCTCAGGCATACGTAAATATGAAGGAGAATATTTGTCTCATTCCTTTATTTCCAGTACTATAATTCAACAATTATTGAAACATACATCACATTCTGCGATTAAATGGAAATCTAATTGCACTGCACAACAGTTTTCAGCATACAAAAATGAGTAGAACTGATTTTATTAATGCAGATGAGTCTCATCCGTACGTAATTGTTCCAATATTATGATTTAATGATATTTAACCTATCAAGTGGATAACTGAATTGAAAATAAAAATAAAATTGACTAAATCATTCATGTTACAAATTATTTTTCGCATCAAATTAGAAGTGTTATGACGTACTTGTCCGGTCTGGGACACAATAATTAAAGAAAATATTCGTAAATAATGAATGACTTGTAACTGCAGTGGTAACAGTCGAATTTTGATCGGGCAACATCGCACGCTTCGGCTAGTAATGGGGTTGTAACAGTGAGATGAAGGTTTGTGCGTGGTATACATGTCCATATATTAGGTGTACAAATAAGTTTTGGGACACTTCACAAAAAATTTAAAATTAATTTTCGAAAAACAGTAAACTACATTTATTCATCAAAATAATCTCCATCATTTTTAATGACCTTCAACCATCTACTAGGTAATTCACGGATGCCTTCCGCAAAGAAAGTTTCATTGCGAGGCGAGGAAATTATCGACCCATTTTTGCACTTCTTCAAATGTTTTGAATCGCACATCAGTCAATTGGTTTTGCATCTTCCGAAACAAGTGAAAATCAATTGGAGCAAAGTCTGGTGAATACGCCGGGTGTTGCACAACTTCCCATCCAAGAGCCATTAACGTATCTTTGACCGGTTTACCCACATGAGGCCTGGCGTTGTCATGGAGCAATTTTACTGGACGTTTTCCTTTGCCAGTAAATGGACGTTTTCGTGAGAAGGCCCGGTAAACCGCGATTCTAACCTCGCTTCGCTCGGTTACGAATCTTTCCCATTGCGTTTAAGCGATAGGAAACGATCTGTTGAGTTACTCCAAGCTACATTCGTCCAAAAGTATTTTCTGATGAATGTGGCTTTGTATAATCACATTCGTCAGAAAATACTCAGAATTCATCAGAAAATACTTTGTGGACCTTATGATGAAAATAACTATTTTGTTCAATTTCTTGGTTCAATCTTATTAATTGTTGACGACAGCGATCGGCAGTGACTGTCTCGCCAGACTTCAAAAGTTCATAATGCAGTACGCCTTTCATATCCCACCATATACACAGCATGATCTTCTTACAGTGAATATTGCGCTTCGGTGTCGATGTCTTTGGCTCGCCGGGGTTAACGGAATGATATTTGCGTTTTGGATTATCAAAATAAATCCACTTTTCATCGCCGGTCACAATTTTCCACAAAAAAGACTTTCTATGTTGCTTATTGTAAAGATTCAGACATATGTCAAGTCGGCTATCTTTATTTTCTTGAGTCAAAAAGTGTGGCACCCACTTTGTTCCTTTTCGAATCTTTCCCATTGCGTTTAAGCGATAGGAAACGGTCTGTTGAGTTACTCCAAGGTGCTTTGCAAGTTGTTTTTCCGTCTGGCAAGAGTTTTCATCCAGCAACGCTTGCAGTTCCTCGTCTTCCACCCTTACAGGGGCCCCGGTACGTTCACGGTTACTAACGTCGAAATCACTTTTTTTAAATCGCTTATACCAATACTCACATGTGCTTTTAGATACAATGTTGTCCCCAAGAACAGAACAAATCGATTGACATGCTTTCCTAACAGTTTTTCCTTGATAGAATTCATAGCGAATGCAGTGTCTAATAAATAGCTTATCGGTCTACATGTTTTATTTACAGAATTTAAGGTTATGTTTATAACTCGCTTATGTTTTGATACCACATAACAAACCCCACCATATCATATGTCCTACAACTTATTTGTACACCTAATACTTCCGGCACTGAATTGTCGTCACCGACTTGACCGACCTCAATCAGTTTTTGTGTGGTATGGTCGCGTTGCTGGACTCGTAATGGCGGGCAAATTTTTTTTAGAAGAATTCGAAAATCAATAGAAGATATCACGCCTATATGGTCCGGTCCCCTACTTGTTTTCGCCGGCGATAGATTCTCCATAGTTTAAAGTAAATGGCGTATGGTTTTTTTCAATATCTTAAGTGTCTAACCCATGAAACATCTCGATCACAGTTCACACGGTCGCGTTTCTTCCATAAGCGTAATGTTACAAGAAGTAATTTTCAGACATTAATTTCTCACTGGGATACCCCGATGGAAGGATTAAGATTATTACTAACGTGTAGCTCAAATACGAATTTGGCATATGAGACAATATCAAAATTATGGTGAACAATGTGAGTTTTAGCTAAACATCCTTCACAGAGAAAAAAAATGTAAATTCAAGATTTTTTTTTTCTAGATTCTAGAATCAGCAGTTTAGAATTTACATCCGGCTAAAATCTAGAAAAAAAAATTAATTTTAGAAAATAAATAAATGAAATCAATCAACCAAAAAATGATGGTTTCAAAGCAAAAATATACTGGAATCTATCGAATTAGGGGATTAAGTTACCCTCATTAGCACATTTTCAAAATGAAAGGCATTTTGGAAATTTTGAATTGAACCTAAATTGAACCTGTCATTTCTAGATTTCGAGATGGTTCACAAGAACTTGACTTCAGCTAAAATTCTATGTGCATTTACAGTTTAACATAATGTTCAAATTTCATGAAAACCACTTAATATACAGATTCACATAGAGTTATCATAATTCCGATGAATGGCACGAGTCATATTACATAAAATTTTTTCATTAAAAGGAAATCCAATTATATTGCACAACAGTTTTGAACAGACAACAATAAGTAGAACTGATCTTATTAATGCAGATGAGCCTCATGCATACGTAATTGCGAAAGAGAAGATTCATCTCTCATTTCTTCATTTCCAATACTATAATTAAATTTGTCGTAATTTAATGTTGGAATTTGATTTGTATAACTAATTATAACTTAACAGTTGTTGAAGCAAATTTCTAAAGATAAATCTCTATAAAAATGGTCTTCATAAAAATTTGTCATCTATAGACTTCAAGATGTCACAAGAACTGGGCTTCAGCTGCAATTAATCAATTCTGTGTGCAGTTACATTTTAACATAATGTTCAAATTCCATCAAAAAACTAGACGATTACACTCTTTCATTAAATGGAAATTCAATTACATTGCACAACAGTTTTGAACAGTCAGGAATGAGTAGAGCTGTTTGTTTTAACGGCAATGACTTTCATACATAAATAAATATAAACAAGAATATTCTGCTCTCCATTCAACAATTGATGGCCAAAATTCAGCGAGAAAATCGTAAAATATGATTAGTCCATTTAACTTTAAAGTCAGTTGATAAGTATCTCTAAATTAAAAACAGATAGCGGAATTTTTATGAAAACATTTTTTGCAGATTAGATTCTCTCGTATCGAATCACAAAATCACAATTCCCTTTTTTCATCCCATCAGTTTTTAGGAATCTGCTGACTGTAAAATTTAACGACCGGAAATTATCTGATCGTGTCACTTTATCGCTAATTTTCAGTGATAAGCATCCTAAAACTCGCGAATTTTTACCCTAAATTTCAATGATTGAATCCCTAATGTTTATAATAAGTGTAGTGATTGTCGAAAATCCTTAAAAATGAAGTATACATTTCTAAAAATTAATTCATTAAAACTGTATTTTTCGCATCTCAGAGCACACACAGAAAAACCTAAAGGTAAATTACGTTTAAGAAGTCACCTTTTACGTTTTCTGAAGCATACTTCACACTTGAAGTTGAAGCGTGAATTGCATAATTTACAGTTTCGTATTCGGAAATTGCAATCATTTTTTTCGTATTTTAGGTTTACTTATTCGCAATTAACGACGTACGCACGAAAAAATTTAATACAAAAATCTAACGAATTCGCTAGACAATTTTATTGGACTTCTATTGAACTTTCTCTTAATTTTGGCTAATTCTATTGAAATGTTTAATCGAAAAGACTCTGTAGAAAAAATCAATAGAATTTGATTTTTCTATACAATTTATCCTATTGAGATATTTTCTGTGGAATTTCCTCGGCTCACACTTTCCAAGTTTTTTGTTTGATCTCCTTGATGAAAAGGAAAGAAAAGTAGAATAAAAAAAAATTCGAAAATTAGAACCGAGGAAACTCTATAGAAAATATCTTAATAGAATAAGTTGTAAAAAAAAATCAAAATCTATTGACTTTTTGTATAGAATATTTTCTATTCAACATTTCAATAAAATCGCCCAAAAACTAACAGAAAGTTACATAGAAATCAGATAGAATTGTCTAGTGAATTCACTAGGTTTTTCTATTACATTTGTTCGTTCGTGCGAAGAAAAAAATGTTATTTCAAGCATAAACTGCGATGTTTTTTCGTAAATTACACATAACTAAATCATCAAATACGTTTCTATCAAAGATATCCAAGTATCTTTTAAAGTTTGATACAGACCACACTATAGACACAACTATTTTCTATCATCAAATTTGTCAATTAATTCGTTGTTTATAAATAAATAATTGAAATTGTTTAAACCTATGGAAACCTTATTTTTTTAGGCATGAAATCCATTTATGGTAAAATTATGAATATGAATAAATTTGTTACGATTCCGAACAAATGATTTTTATGGTGAGAAATTCATTATTTACAAATTATTTATAGAAAATGTTCACAATTTTCAAAAATTGCTATTTTTTAATTGTTTCATCAATCTTCATCAAAAAGAAAACATTCTCATTTGGTTCAGGTTTTTAAAATGTTTTCCAGCTGTTTAATACTAAGACTCAAATTCAGACCTGCAAAGTTCAAATAATAAACTCATAAAATATCCGGAAACTGAGGGTCAAATGGAGCTCGCATCAAAACTCTGATATTTAATTACAAAAGTAGAAAAACATTTCACTGGTGAAAAAATCGCCATAGTACTTGGATATCCTTAAGATCGTAATTTACGATTTCATAAGCGTAGAATACGCTTAGTGAAACGTAAAAGACGCTTCGTTTGGTCGTAATATACGTTTTTATTTTGAAATTAAAAAAATGCTCTGTAAAATGTTCTGTTTCAAAGTCCAAATTCCGATTTTTATGCCGGAAAAAGAGCCACCGGACATCATATTTGTGTTACGCGGAACACACGTTTAGCAAACAGTAAATTACGCTTAG